CCTGTGCATTTGATACCCTCTGCTAGAAGCGCGGCTGGCGCTGGGGGGCGGAGCCTAGTAGAAGGGGCGTGGTCCTCAGATGGGTAGCCTCTTACAGTTTAGGAGGTGTGGTTCTGAGTGAGGGGCGGGGCCTGGTGGCGGTGGGTGGGGCCTGCGGCTGACACGTGCCCCGCCTCGGCTCGCAGGAAGATCGTGGACCGCATGGACAAGGCCGGGGATGGCGACGGCTGGGTGTCTCTGGCCGAGCTCCGCGCGTGGATCGCGCACACGCAGCAGCGACACATACGGGACTCGGTGAGCGCGGCCTGGAACACCTACGACACGGATCGCGACGGACGCGTGGGCTGGGAGGAGCTTCGCAATGCCACCTACGGCCACTATGAGCCCGGTAGGTGACCCTAGAATCCATGCACCTTAGACCTCTGACGCTTAGCCAGGGCCTGCTCACTTCTGGAAACCTCCAACCCATGACGGATGGCCTCTCCTTGCAGGAGCCACCCCCTGGGACCCTGTCAGTGAAGGCTTCAGGTCTTTGACCAGGGATGCCTAACTTAGATGCCCTTCATCTGACCTCTGCCCTGTGTGACTTCCCATCCTGCAGTTAGTGTTAGGTGCCTGTGTTAGGCAGGGTTCTCTAGAGAGAGAAAACCAGATTGCTAATGATTATATACATATATTTATATAGATAGATAACATAAGAAATAAACAGTTATATTATAAAGCAGTTATACAGATAGATGTATAACACAAGAAATAGACAGTTAAATTATAAAGCAGTTATACAGATAGATATATAACACAAGAACTAAGCAGTTAAATTATAAAGCAGTACAAATGGCTCAGTGCAATTCAAATGTGTTAGACAGTTATGAGACACTGGCAGTCCTTCAAGTCTTGAGGGGCGCCAGGTAGTCCTCTGTAGAGAGATTCAGGTTATCCAAGTACAGGCAGCAGTCAGCCAGGTCACCAACAGTCAGTCCCCAGCTCAAGAGATGTAAATTCCAATTGTGTGGTGAAGCAGATCTTGAAGGAACCTCAAATTACAGCGACACAGTCCACAGGTTAGGTGTCCCACAGGTAGTAGCTTGCACATTGAGGCACAGAACAAGCAAGGCAGTGCACACTGGTCCGATGATCAAAGAGCGAGGGACAAGAAAGGAGAGGCTCGCGCCGAGCCATTTATCTCTCAGCCCTTCGATTAATCCCACATGTGTGTATCGGCCAGGCTGGCACAACAAACTAACTACCTCAGTGCCCTCGAGTTGGATCAGACTCATAATAGTGACCGCATGTCTGACTACCCTACCAAATCCTGCCCGGTCCACCCCCATCCTCACAATAATGTCTGAGCCTATCGTTGCAGCCAGCTCATCATCGGTCCAACTCATCCACGGCCTTGCTGTCTTTTATCAGCCCTTCACTATACCAACTGTGATGCCCTTTTCCAGGGACTGGCCTCTCCTGATAATGTGCCCAAAGTACGAGAGACCAAGCCTTGCCCTTAATGCTCCCAAGGAGCATCCTGGCTCTTCTACTTCCAAGACAGACTTGTCTCTTCTTTGGGCGGCCATGGCACTGTCATCCCAATGCATGGCTTCTTCTCCAGTCTTCCTTATTATTCATTGCCCAGCCTTCCCGTGCCGATGAGGGAGGCGATCCCAAATGCCCCGGCTTGGATGGGGCTCCCCTTAGACTGCAGAGTCACCTCTTCGCACGTCCCCCCTTTCCTGAAGCCTTGTCAGGTCATTTCAAAGAGGTCGTGTGGCCCCGAGACCGGGAGGTCTGAATGCTGTGACCCAAGATTAAGATTCTCCACGAAATGCCACAGTCACTCAGTAGTGCCATGTTTCTGCTTTTTTTTTTTTTTTTCCTGAGGCGGTTCAAGATTATATTCATGATTATAAATAAATGGGTCCAAGTTTAACCAATGGATTTAACATTTTAAACAAGAAAGAGGAAGAAGGGCTCGGGCAGCAGACTTGCTCAATGCATTGTGTCATTTGACTGCCCGGTTGCTGTTTCTCAAGCTGGGAGTGAGTCCTCCACAGCCATTTCCCCTGCTCCCTCCCCTTCCTGGTACCTCCTCTGTCCCTCCAGGTGCCCTGGTGGCCTAGTGGTCCATCACAAGGTCAGCGATGTGAAGCGACTAGCTGTTCCTCAGAAGCCAGAGGAGGCTCTCGGCTCCTGT